GACAATAATGAGCAAAATTTTAATTTAAGGTCCAAACTACCAGAAATATAACATCACAACATGTTATACATCCACTTTAAATAAGTAAATAAAATCTAGGGCTGAGAGAATGTACTGAAGTAATAATGTATGTACTAAAATAATGTGTGCATGAAGCTTACAGTGAAGAACATCAGTTCTCAGATTTTATACCTCCCTAACTTCCTAGAGACAACAATTTTTTACTGTTTTTAGCTGTTCTGGTGATGTGATTATCTGTTCCTGTGAAGATTTACAGTCTTGGAAACCTTATAGGGAACTTCTGTTCTGCCCTGTAGGGTCACTATGAATTGAAATAACCCAATGGCAGTCAGGTGTTTTTTTTTGGTGTCTATAGCTATTAAGGAAATTGAAGTAGTACTTAAAAACTCTCAGGAGGAAATCTTTTAAAAAAATTTTTATTAAAAGATTTTATTGGGGGCTCTTAAAGCTTTTAACAATCCATACACCAATTGTATTAGGCATATTTGTACATATGTTGCCATCATTGTTTCCTAAAAGTTCACTTTCTATTGAGCCCTTAGTATCAGCTCCTCTTCGCCCCCACCCACCCTTGTGACCCCTTGATAAATTATAAATTATTATTATATGCATTCAGAGGGAAATCTTTAGTACTAGTTATATGAAGAAGAAATGTGACAACTGGATTGGAGGAAGGTTTATTAACAACTTTCAAAATGCAGATAAATCAACCTTGTTTGCTGAAAGTGAGGAAGGCTTGAAACACTTGCTGATGAATAACTAAGATTGCAGCCTTCGGTATGGAATACAATTCAGGGCAGATAAGCTCCCAAATCGTCACAACTGGATCAGTAGGTAACATAATGGTAAACAGAGTAGATTGAAGTTGTCAAACAGTTCTCATGGGAGCAGCAGACAAGAGATCAAATGGTGCATTGCATTGGGTAAATCTGGTGCATAAGACCTCTTTAAAGTGTTGAAAAGCAAAGATGTTACTTTGAGGACTAAGGTTCACCTGACCATTATTTTCAATTGCCTCATATGCATGTGAAAGTTGGACATTGAATAAAGAACACTGTAGAAAAATTGGTGCATTTGAATTGTGGTGTTGGCAAAGAATACTCAAAGTACCATGGACTGCTAAAAGAACAAACCGATCTGTCTTGGAAGAAGTGCAGCCAGAATGCTCCTTAGAGGCTAGGATGGCGAGAATTTGTCTTACATACTATTGGACATTTTGTCAGGAGAGACCAGAATAATAGTTTGACTTTGGACATGTTAGGAGAGACTAGAATAAGAGTTTGGAACTTCCTTTAAAAAATAAAATAGAGATAGACTTAACTTATGCCACAGCATTTGTAGTCCTAAGCTTTTAATCCTAAAGAAATGAAAACTTTGTACAATCATCGCCACAGTCAATTTTAGAACATTTTTTTTGTTCTTGTACTTAACTATTATTAGTTTCTCCTTTCCCTTCGAAATTCCCTGCCATACCCTCAAGAATTAATCTAGTTACTGTTACTATGAATTTACCTAGCCAGGATTTCATATACAGTAAACAGACAAACAACTAACTGTTAACAAAGTAAAAGAGCAAAGCCTCAATCAACAAGAAAGAAGAAAATACTAAAAACTAAAACAAATTGAAAATGAGTCAAAAGGAAGATCAAGTGACAGCGTGTTAAGTTCTAACCTTGCATTTGTGGTGGTCCTCTTTCCAGTGCATGCTGTTCATACCTGGTCTGTGGTCGGGATTTACCAGAGGCCTATTATGTATGTTTTTCCTTTTCACTTTAAAAAAACAACAACTTTAAAATGGGTCAAAAGGGAGGTCAAATGATAATGCATTTTAACCGAACTACATCTGCCATAATTGACTTTACAATGATCTTTGTCTGATAACAAAACTATTCGCATCTCAACTATGGTCAGAGGGTATTCACCAAAGGCTTAATCTATGTGTGGACCCTACAAATGGATTTTGGACTTCCATTGTCATCCATAGCCTTCTGAAAACCAGATGTTCACAATTTAAACCGAAATACCATTCCCTCCTTTGTATTTTCGTTTTATTATTTACAGTCCTTGCATCATACAGGTGTGCTTTTTCCATGTGTACTTCTCACTTTAGATGACTGCTTGTTTGAAGATAGACACTATTCCTTCTGATAGCCTAACACCATCTAGTTTCTTCGCCACACTTTGCTATAGTACCCATATCCTCAGTGATCTCTTCATGAGGGTAAACATCAAGCAGGGCCATTTCATAAGACCTAATTATTCTTAGATTTGAACTAGAATTAATGCAAGCCCAAAATTCATTCACATATCTTTGGTTTATATACATCCGTGGTTCACTTTAGAGACATCATTATTAGCTTATGTTAGAGAATTCTTTAAAACCATGTTTTGTTATAAACTGGAAGCAAACAATGATACATGGCTAAAATATTGGTGCATCCATAGCATGAAATACTGCTTAGCAATAACAAGGGATGAATTATTGCCACATGGAGTGATTTATATCTTAAGAACATTATGGCAAATGCAAAAGGACAGTGTCAAAAGTCACATACTATATATAGAACATTGCTAAAAATTACATGATTTTAATCACAAAAACAGATGAGTGATTCCCAGGGATGACCGATGGTTGGGGAAAGTGGAGTGATTAGCTAAAAGGGGTAATATGAAGGATATCTTTTGTGGTGCTGTATTAGCTCTTTATATCCTGTTTGAGGTGGTGGTTACAGTAATCTGTGATAAAATGGTTTCAGTAACTTTCTGGGTTTATATTACTATTTTTTTAATCATTTTATTGGGGGCTCATACAACTCTTATTACAATCCATACATACATCCATTGTGTAAAGCACATTTGTACATTCATTGCCCTCATCATTCTCAAAACATTTGCTCTCCACTTAAGCCCCTGGCATCAGCTCTCCTTTTTTTCCCCCTCCCCCCTCGCTCCCCTTTCCCTCATGAACCTCTGATAATTTATAAATTATTATTTTGTCATTTATTGTCCTATCCGACATCTCCCTTTACCCACTTTTCTGTTGTCCATCCCCCAGGGAGAAAGTCACAGTCACATGTAGATCCTTGTAATCGGTTCCCCCTTTCCATCCCACTCTCCCTCTACGCTCCCAGTATCGCACTATCGCCACTCACACCACTAGTCCTGAAGGGATCATCCGTCCAGGATTCCCTGTGTTTCCACTTCCTATCTGTACCAGTGTACATCCTCTGGTCTAGCCAGACTTGCAAGGTAGAATTCGGATCATGGTAGTGGGGCTGGGTTTTATAGTATAATTATTTAAGATGTAACTATGAGGTAAGCTGGGTGAAGACTATATAGGAACTTTATATGCTATCTTTACAAGTTCCTGTGAACATATAATTATTTCAGAATAAAATATTTTAAAATTAAAACTTTGAGACCACGGCCTAAATATAATACAACAGAATAAATTCAGAGGTTGTAGCCAAAATTGCCCATTTGACATCTTGAGGGATACTAGCATAGATACTTCACTTTCTGTTTATATGTCCAGGAAGAAGGATTCCTGGCTGTGTTGTATTAGCTCAGTCACCATACTAGAGAATAGCCACTGTCATATTAAAAATTAGGCTTGTCTGTCCATCAGCAATTACCTCTCGTTTACCCCCAGCCACAAACACTGTAGATCCATGCAGTAAGCCTAAGATCACACTGCCTAGAGTAAATGTGGCAACTTCCTCATATTTGTTATTTTATCTGTTAGTAGGAATTTTGTAGTTCTAAACCCCAGGTGCATGAGGAAAGTGTACACTCATTTGAATATAAACTCAACTGAAGATATTGGGCATCACAATAATATATGGTAGGTATCAGTCATTTTGAAAGCCTCATTTTGAGTTGAATAAAAACACCAGTTGTTAGTTTGAAGTAGAAATCATGTCAGCTTATTTCTTATAAGTCTACCCAGAACGTCTTCTCTAAAGATATTTAAGGAGCTGATAATTTGTTAGGATCTAGTAAGCAATCTTCCCTCATTCGGTCCTCCTTCAATACCAAATTTCACTGGAAAGCCTACCTTAGCTCGCTTTTTTTGAGAGACAGAACTATCCAGCATTCTCCGATTCTTTATTCATACTTTGTGGGTAACTGGGTCAAGTTTCCAACCCGATGTCCCCAGTGGCACAACTGGATAGAACTGTTTTGAGCCATAGGATTTTCATTGGCTGATTTTAGGACTATGTTCAAAGTTTGATCTTCCTTTAAAAACAGGCATAAAATTAAATAGAGCATATTGTTCTGATCAGTTGGACAATATTAATCTTGTTTTTCTAGAATACCTTCAAGAAATTAATTTGTCTTATTTGGAAACCAAGAAGAGTAATAGTAGTGAGGTATAAAACCAAAGTTCATCCTCAAGTAAAACATTTTATTTGATTGGTAGTGTAGCACATCCTCAAAAAAAAATTTTTTTTTTTATTGGTAGTGTAGCACAGCAGATGTTTGCTCTTTGTAGATGGAAATAAGTCTAGTCTTGTGATCCTCCACTGTACAGCTAAAGATCACGTTGCGAAATAAACAACTGAGAATGTTACAATATCTGAAACTAGATAAAAATATTGTAAAAGAAAATTAAAAAATATATATTGTATCTCCCATGAGGATGATTAAGGAACCTGGTTGGATAGTGCCTACGCATTTGGGAGAAAGATGAGGCTTTTTACTTCTGTAGCGTTAACAGTCTCAGAAACCCACGGGAAGTTCTGCTCTGTCCTATAAGGTTGTGTGAGACAGCATCAACTCGATGGCAGTTTTTTAATTTGTAAGGATGATTAAGCAACTTCTTTGAAATATTTTATATAAAACATAACATTTTTCCGAAGGCTACAGATATGGGTTTGATTTTTTTATTTGGAAAACAAGCTTGGCATTTCTATAATGTAATGTGTGCTATAAAGAGCTTTTGTTAATTGATCTCATTTCTTTTCTTCTCTTTATAGGAATATATTAAAGGAATCTGTGAACCTGAATTGGAAGAAAGAGAATGTTATCCCAAAGCCATGCACTGCATTTTTGTTGGGGCACAGAGCCTCTTTCTGAAGAGCCTGATTCAGGATACCTGTGCCGACCTGTGCATTCTGGACATCGGTCTTCTGGGCATCCGAGGGAGCGCGGAGGCTGTTGTCATGGCTAGGAGTCACATTCAGCAGTTTGTAAAGCTCTTTGAGAATAATGAGAACCTACCCAGCAGTCAGAAAGAATCAGAGGTGAAAAAGGAGTTTAAACAGTTTGTTGAAGCACGAGCAGACAATTACACGATGGACTTGCTGATTTTGCCCACTTCCTTAAAAAAAGAACTTTTGACTCTCACACAAGGTGAAGGGAATCTATTTGAAACTGGAGAAAATGATGTTATTGAAATTAGAGATTGTAAACAAGCAGAGTTTACACAGGATATTGCCACAGGGATGAATATTACCAGCGATGAAATAATTTTGCAGGACGATGCAAGAGATAAAGCTGGCACTCCTGTGTCTGAGCTCACTCAGAAAATGGACACCGTCTTTTCTCGCTCACCGGATGTGCTCTTTGTTCCGGCAAATGGTCTGTCCCCAGATGAAGAAGGGCTTTCCAAAGAAAGAATTTGTCACAAAAGGAGATCTTCTGATTCTGAAGAAAGAAATACCAAGAAGCCGTTTTCTTTGGAAAATGTTGAGGAAGGGGAGCTTTTACATGATGGAAAGACATCAGCCAGCAGTGTAATCATTGACCTATCTGAGTCTGATTCTGAATATTTCAGTCCAGACGTAAAGGACACGAGTGAGGAAATGGAGTACAACATCCTTGTAAACTTTTTTAAAACCATGGGCTATTCCCAAGAAATTGTTGAAAAGATCATTAGGGAATTCGGACCATCTACTGAACCCTTATTGCTCTTAGAGGAAATTGAAAAAGAAAATAAAAGATTCCAAGAAGACAAAGAATTTTCATCTGATAACATGTATCCAGAGACCAATAAAACCAAAAATAAAGGCATTTGTAGTAATGTAAATGCACTTACCGTGGATTCCACTGCAAAGAAAACACAGACTCACACACAGAAAAATATGGTAGAAAAATTTTCTCAGTTACCATTTAAAGTAGAGTCAAAACCATGTACCTCCAATTGCAAAATTAATACTTTTAGAACAGTGCCAGCAGAACAGAAACAAGAAATCTGGGGTACAAACCAGAACTACACGTGTAACATAGATCTGGAAACTGATGGCCTGTCACCCTCTGTTACTCCTTCAAGTCCCAAAGAAGCTGTCCATTTTGTTTCAAGGGGAGCTTCACATCATCAGCCCAGAATTCCAGTTTTTCTTGAGAATGGCTTGCAGCACCAAGCAGAACCCTTGCTCCCAAGTAATATGAAAGCCGCCTGTGAAAGCCGCTCAGGATGTGCTAACTCTCCTCAGTCTAAGCCTAATTACCCACCCCTTTCTCCACCTACTCGGCTGCCCCAGTTACCACCTCCGGTTACTGACACAAGACTAGCAGGACCATCTGATCATATTGATTCCTCAGTTACGGGAGTTCAAAGGTTTCGAGATACTCTAAAAATACCCTACAAGCTGGAATTAAAAAATGAACCAGGGAGAACAGATTTGAAGCACATTGTTATAGACGGAAGCAATGTTGCAATTACGTAAGTCCATTCTGCAAGTGTATTGTTTTAAGTAGAGCTATAAGTAGTGTCTCTGAATGACATATATTTAAAGGAACGACCTTATGTGTTAAATTGATGTGATGTATTGAATTGACCTATTGGGTGGTTGGGGGCAGTCAGTTGTGTGGGAAGGTTTTATTTCATTTTCTGGAATTGTGTTCTTTGATTCACCCTGCTAACTTGTATTTCTGAGGGAAAGAGGTAATAGAAATTCTCTTTTTCACATTGCTTTGCCCAATAATAAGCAGTATAATCCAAAACCCCACTGGCATCTGGTCATTTATGACTCCTGCCATTCCTGTAGGACAGAGTAGAACTGCCCCATTCAGTTTACAAGTCTGTGATCTTTTCAGAAGCAGCAAGCAGACTGCCATATCTTTGTCCTACATAGTGAATGGTGGATCTGACATCCAATGTTTTAGCAGTCGAGTACCTTAACCACTGTGGCACCAGGGATCCTGATAAGCAATATAAACTCACTTATTGCTGCATAGAGATTTTAAATGATTAGGTTTATGTTATCACAAATATCATTAGGTTCTGAATATAAGTACAGAGATAAGATAGTGATTTGCTGCCCTTTTTTGTGTTGGAATGGCCCCAATGTCTAGCCAAGACGGTGTAGTCTGTGCTGTGCTAATAGGTATGATGTGTTTCTGTTAACCTGCTGATAACATTGATGACAGTATCCATTCTTTTTTTTTTT